TCTGGCAGGATCAAGAGGTAATAAAAAGTAGGATTCAGAAAAACAAAGCCAGCTGTGAGAATAATGGTTATGATGGCCGGTTTCATATTTGCCATTTTGTATTCTGCCCATAGTTTCTACACCTGATAAGGGTCTGTGTAAAAGAAAAGCCAGTGATCCTGTCATATGGGGGCTGCTTTGGGTGCCACAGGTTTAGCTATATGCACCAGCGCTGGAAAATCTGCCTTGAATTATGATGACTGGGAACAGTTACTGTGCTTTAGATTTCACTTCCCAGGTTCTGTTACATCTTCCCATGTATAATAATGGCAAATTATCTCATAGTTTTAATCTCGAGGTTTATAGTCTTTCATTTGCACTTGTAGTCCCATGTAAAGGTGCCCATACACTGCTCGATTCTCGTACGAGAATAGCGGGAAATCCCACGATCGTACGAGAATCGAGCAGTGTGAACGAAGACGTGCGACCGTTTCTACTGTACGGTCGCACGTCTTTTGTCTAAGGAGCACGCTAGAAAACCAGCCGAAAATCGTACCATTTTCGGCTGGTTTGAACGGTGCTCGGGAGACAAATGCCGAACGGGCCGGTGTGCACACTGCCCGTTCAGCATTGCGGTCATCGAGAGTACGATCTGCCTGTCCAAGATGGGCAGATCGTACGTTTTTTTAATCACTTTACAACCCCTGCAAGACAAAGGTCTTGCAAGGGTTGTACAGTGTATGGCCACTTTTACAGAGGCCTTCAAACCGGGACTCTTCTGCAAGGGTCAGCAAGGTGTTGCATGCTTTTTCCAGTTGTAGATGTAAATCAATTGGATTCTAAAGCCAGCTGCAGGCTATAATATATTTGGGAGGGATTGAATCACTGGCATGACCTTTTGGTGTGGTCTATTTTTATTCTCTCTTGTCCATATTGTATGAGATTTAGCCTTTGTATGTGTGCTTCTAACAACATGCCGATGTGCCGTAACTTTTATTTTATTTTTTTTTACTGGTTAATTTTTAAGCGAAATTTTAAAATTTAAAGGACAATTGTTTACAAATTGCATCATTTGTATAAACTGAATTCTGTACCGTTTAATGAGGTTTAAACATTATTTATGGATAAATAGAACTATTGGTATTAGATCAGTCGATAACCTTTCAGTTTTATTAGTATCTCTTCACAATGCATATAATGAATAAGGGGGATTTGCCCATTTTTGTACTCTTTGTTTTGGATTTTTTTGTCTTCCTCCTGTAATTTTAAACTTGACACATCCTGTAAACCTGAAAATGTATACAGCTTGTAGTCAGTACAAATACAGTAAACCAGTGAAGTCGTCTGTATTGCTGACCACCTGGATGTCATGCTGATCATCTGGCTTCAAAAGTTTTGAGTCACTGACCCAGGGCAGGTATGCGGATCGGGAAAGTTGTGATAAAATGAGAAATTCTTATCTGCATGCTCCGTCTGTGTCATTAAAGTGATATTAAAGTCAAAAGGTATTTAAGCTATTTGAAATGCTGATTAAATCACTTACAATGGATGCTGCTCCTTGATTAAAAGTAGCAGAATCAGCTGGTCCCCCCTGAGCACTGGCACTGATATCCTGTTTTAGACGGACTCCTTTCCCTTGCAGGGTCCTATGGAGTCACCCTCGTATGTGCTAGTAAGTTGTGTGTCTCCACAAACACGTGTATGTCAAGGGAAGCCACTCCCCTGCTCCCTCCTTACTCCAAGCCAGTAGATGGACAGCTGCTGTTGTCCCTTGTGAGCTTGTACTGGACAGGAAGTTCAGGGAAGCTGATCTGGGAGAGCTGGAGCTGGCTGTTTGGAAACATGATGACTGGAAGCGCTTGAGCAAAAATGTAAGGAGAATGCTTATATTGCTGGGTAATGTATATTTGCTTGATCTGGATTCATTACTGAATAAAGTTTGATCATTTAATACTACTTTAATTCCGTATTGTAGTGAAAGGTTCAGCATGAGAGCCAGGTATCAAGCATTTGCAGAACAGCTGAGCTTCAGCTTTCTCTTCCTTGAACAAACCTGCAGATCCAAAATTCTAACTTCACATGCCACACGGTGGTTCTGTGTCATTGTACATACTAGAGGCAGCCAGGCAACTATCATTCTAGGAGTAAGATCAGTATTAAAAGCCTCCATATTTCACTTATGACATTTTCCTCTAAAATGCTTCTTTGTTGGGCTCCCGTCTCTCATCCGTGGTAAATAGTCAATGCAGAACAAGATCCGAGAAAATCCATTCATTTCTGCTTGTTAAGAGGTTAACGCAGCATTCGCATATTTTTTCTCTTCTGTCATGAAAGCTGTTGAGACGAGAAATCGAATATTCTTCCTGGTGAGACTCGTTGTTAAATGAGGAAAGCTGTATCGAGCCGTGGCACTGTACAATGCTTGGTTATTGGCTCCGGCAGCCTTTGTGCAATGGAAAGTTCCAGTCTGCTCTCGGTGCCAGATCTTTAAACCCCCAACCCCGTGGTGGTTTGTGGGTCACTTCACTCTCTCTCTCTGGGTAAATAATCCTCTTGTTTCAGCTGCCGTCCTGCAGCGTCTCACTGTATTGCTGGAATTCTCTTCTATCCGCAAAGTAAGCAGGGCAACCTGGGATCCGTGAAAGGGAAAGGGATGCACGCCATGGGAATCAGCCAGCCTTCTCGGTGAAGTTCATGTCATCTGAGGCACAAGAGGTTTCTGCTTCAGAGAAGAAAAGGGAGAAAGAGAATTACTTTTTATAGTGGGCCTCATACTTGTACTGCAAGCAAAATGTAGGGGTTGCCCATGGCAACCAATCAGAAGTTGACACTTGACGACTGGTTTCTGTGGGAATCATGTCTATGTTCCTTATCTGGTCTTTATACATCTACGCAATTATTAAAGTTTGTGAATAACACAGATTTATAGAGTAATAACTAGGGATGCACCGATCTATCGGCAGAAAATGGCACTTTTGGCAAAATGCCGAAAGTGCAATTTTTCTGCCGAAATAGCGGTTCATCTCTGCTTTCTCTCCTTCCTGCTGGGCGCTGCTCTGTGTCCCAGTGGGGAGGAGAGAAACTGTCACAGGAGGCAGAGTAGCGCGAGTGGAGAGCGATGCGAGTGGCAGGCGTCTCTCCTCCCCATACCACTCAGCCTCTTGTCACAGATCAGGAGAGCGGCTGTGTGGGCGGAGACTGCCAGTGCTGTCACAGGAGGCCGTCCGGCGGTGCACAGGGGGGAGTCGGGTCAATCTCTCCTCCCCGCACCGCTCACTCAGCCTCCTGTGACGGCGTGTCAGGATGGAGAGCGAGGTACAGACACTCAGCAATCGGTGATCGCTGGGTGTTTGTAAATAATTGGAGACCTAGTGTGTTTACTATATCCACAATCATGAATGAACAGAAGGTTATGTAGTCCACTTCCTATTCATTCATAATTGAGGTTATAGTAAGCATTCTCTGTCCACAAGTTATGAATGAACAGGAACACTCAGTATAGAGGATTACTGTTCATTTATAACAGGGGCTGCAGAAAAAGGGAAAAATCAGGGGTTTAGACCCCTAATATTTCCCAGAAGCCCCTAAAAGTAAAGTAAAAAATACAAAATATTAAACATAAAATAAAATCATTTTTTATTAAAGTTTTTATAAAAACATTATTAAAATATTTGAAAAACTTAGAAAAACATTTTCGGCTTCGGCCCGACATATACATTTTTCTTCTTTTCGGCTTTGCAATTTTCATTAGTTCCACCTCCTAGTAATAACCCATGGTGCTTCTGCTGATCTTGAACTATAGGTGCCAGCATACATTTGCAATTGCAAAACCACAGTGTGCTATAAGGTTGTTGAGCCCTCAATAAACAAATGACGCTCTTTATGTTGGGCTTGCTTTTTCTATTTTATGGAATTCAAACATGTCTGCCTTTATTCATCTCTATTACATACAAGTTGATGGGATTAGTAGTTTACGAAAGAAAGATGAGAGGTTTTTTTGCTGTCTGCTCAGCTCACAAAGTGACAGGGATATTGAATCTGTCTACATCAAAGGTATATTTTTGCACGTGCTGAAAATGTACTTAGTCTGTAAAAAGCCACCAAATCTAAGGACTGATCAGCTGTAATATATTAATTTTTTAGTCTTGGGTTTAGATGCACTTTAACAATCTGCCATCCGCTGACTACACAGTTTGGAAGTACAACATGTACTTTGCCCAGGCAGAGCAACTGGTTGGGTTTAATGGCAGTCCCACCTGCACCACCTACTTACCTTCCCTTCACTCCCCCACCGCACCCTTTGACCATCGATGGGGATCTTATGATCTATTCCCCCAGTTGACGTGACAGCACTGTTGGATGGTGTTTGGCCATTCAGGAACCCTGGCAATGTTGGGGAGAGTCACGATTTAGAGCCTACACAGGGGTAACTCTTCCTCATTCTCAGTGGCCTAATAAAGCAGTGGGACAGTGGCGAAGTGGTTGGCACTTCTGCCTTGAAGTACTCGGGGTCCCTGGTTCGAATCCCGGTCACTATCAGCAAGCAGTTTGCATGTTCTCCCTGTGCTTGCGTGGGTTACCCCTGGGTACTCCGGTTTCCTCCCACGCTATAAAGACATGCTGGTAGGTTAATTGGCTCCTGTCTAACGCAGCCTTGTATGTATGCATGTGAGATAGGGACCTTAGATTGTAAGCTCCTTGAGGGCAGGGACAGATGTATAAAGTGCTGCTTACATTGTCAGCGTTGTATAAATATCAATAAATAAAGAGATCATGTGCAGTTGTTGAGATTGGTTGCTTTGCTCTGCATAGGAAAAGAACAGCTTCACGTTTTAAAGTATGATTTTAAACCTAAATTTTACTAGCGGTGGAAAGGTTGCTTAAGGGCTGCAAGACTTGGTTAGCGTATTGTGATTGTTACAACCAAAACACATTAATTTAATCTAGATTCTAATATTTATTGCTGTGCATCATTTTCACTGATCTTCATAAAGCTTACTATGTGTGTATCTTATCCGCAGGTGAAGCGGCATTACGGAGTGATCCTAGAATGCAGCCTCTTCAGATGCCTACTACACTCTCCAATCACCGGACGGGTCCTCCGCCGATCAGCCCCAGCAAAAGGAAGTACATGGACCAAGGAGATGACGAACTAGACTGTGAAAATGACCATGTCTCCAAAATGAGCCGAATGTTCCACCCTCACTTGTAAGTGTAAAATGTTAGAGTATTTGTGATTGCGTCTCCATCTTTCGTTCCAGGTAGATCACTTCTGTACAGTTGTATAGGCAAAGGTTTGTGGGTTGCAAAATTCTAATCTGACCTTCTCATACATATTGAAGTTCTGGGGCACATGGACTGTTATGAATGAGTTTTTGTGCAGTGATTTTAATAGTACATAATGGTTTAGATAGCGGAGTCTCAACATGTAAGTGCTATAATTCTAACCCCTGTAGTTAGAATAAATAAAATAAGTCAGACCCGAGGACACATCAGTGTTTGACTAGGTACAATTATCAGCTGGGGTCTGATGCATTTGCTGCCTTTTACTGCATGCCTGGTATAGTGGTTGGCATTCTTGGCTTGCAATGTCATGGTACCAAGTCTGATTACTGCCAGGTACAATACCTGTAATGGAAAATGGATAGAATACCTATAATGAGGCAACACTGTTGTGGGTATGGAAATCCCTCTCTTTCAACTCGTACCTTTGATGGAGGAAGACTGCTACATTGTGCACCTGGCACTTTCTGTCGCAGGTCTGGGAGAGAAAAAAAAAATCTTTAATACTTCTGACAGTTGGGCCCCATAAGGTGATGAAGTGCAACTGAGAAGGCCATGACAGATGGAACTAAAATGACTTAAAACAGGAAATTGCTGAAATGTGCTCACGTTTACAGGGAAAGTGTTTCCATTGTGATTCTCCCCTTTTTGTCTGTTTTAGCATGCCGTTATTTCCCTGCTATTTCATATCTTAAATTGCTAGATTTTCCTTTTTATAGCAGCCATCTGTTGATCAGTGTGACTGCCATTTGTATTGAGACATTGCTGCAACAAAAGCAATACCAGGATATATCTCCTATAGAGCTTATCGTTTTCAGGGAAAGTCTTTTGACAAACCTCCTGAGCTTCAACCCTGCAACGAATGAATCTAAATTCACAATTAAAAACAACAAAATAAATGTTCCTTTAGTGGCCCCTTACTGCAGCAAATGGTAAATAAAAAAAGAGAGGTTGGCATGTGAATGGATGAGGGGAAAGGAGAGGTGACTATAAACCTGGAACACCATCAAAGCCGCTGCTCTCATCCCTGCAGCTCTGGAAATGCAGTGCTCTGTGTAGAAATCCGGCTTTAATCAAGGTATGGTGTTTTACAGTAGCCAGCAACCATCTGCACCTCATTATTAGAAATGACTTAAAGGAGAAGTATTGGGAGAGTAAAATGTTCTATTCCCAATGCTTAGAGCCAGAGTGTGACACTGCATGCTCCATAGATCGAGAGCTGAGTGATCGTGTGACCGCTGATTACTCGGCTCTGTCTTCTCCCTGCAGAGAGTGGTGGCTGACTGCTCCCCGCAGGGATGCCCCCCTTCACTCTGTTCCTGCAGAACTCACTGGAGGGACAGACCAGGGAGGTGGGAACAGCTGTCTCTGGCTCTAGAGAGGCAGAACCAGCTGTCAATCAGGTAGTGGGATAGACCCCAGCAATATTGTCAGCATCCTTCCTGGCTGCAACCCATCTCTGCACTGTCAGCATATAGCAGGTTTTAGCCTGCTATATGCTGATATTGGGTCACAGGGGTACATTAGTAAATGTACTCCTGTGACCCAAAAGAGAATTAAAGCCAAAAAAAGGTTTGTGTTTAGGCTAACTTGTACTGTTTGCAAAAAATTTTTTGTTTTTTTCCTGGCGGTCAACTTTAATTCAGTTTGAAAAGACAAGTATATACAGGCTTTATTCTGTTCTCGTGGCTTAGTGCTGTATAGCCGGTAAATGTATCCTACACCAAATGTCTGCTTGGTCTGTTTTGAGGAGCAAAGCCTCCCACTCCTGGGTGGGAGCACAGCTGCTCCTCTGACACAAGGAGACCTTGCAGTTGTCGCTGGGTTTATTTGCAGTGTTTTCTTTGACAGAGCCTTCATGCAGATGAATAAAAACCACCAACAAATGGCCAGGCCAGGCCAAGGGGATTGCATGTTGCCTGTGAATGTTTGTTTCTTTGTCTCGCTGGCACAGAATTAGATGTCAGGATGCTTCTCATTCCTTTGTGAAGGAAGCAATCAGAGGTCATTTGATAACTGAGAACTGTGCTTGGCTGTCTGAGTTCCAAGCACTGAGCTACATTCCAGGCATTCCCCTGCCTCTGGCCTGCTCACATCCATCATAAGACAGGCAATGTTTTATTTATCCTTCAATAAATCATGGCTGTGTTAGTCACAGCCCGGGCCGGCAGTCTGCAGGCCAGGAATGTGTTACAAATTGGCCAGCCAGAGCCCAAGGTAGCGAAACAATAAGGGCTCAGAACCAAGAGAGTCTTATTAATATTGCTATAGTGCTTTACGCAACTGTTGACATTCCTCCTCCATGTGTCTCCAAGAAGAAAATAAGCTGAGGATTGAAATGGTGGGGAATGGGGTTAATGAAGCATTAACTCTTTGTAGACTTGACAGACAATGTGTTGTGTATTTGCACAAGTCTGTGTCTGGAGTCCTCAATATGCATTGGCACCATGGCATTTACCTAGAATTCATTACAGTTTAGACGTACATAAAATATATAGTATGTTCTTTAAAAAACAAACCCCAAAACATTTTAAGCTGTTTTTCACATTATTTTGTAACGGCACCCCAACACACCTAACAATTGCACAGTGCCACATTGCATGGTAACCTATTACCATGCATTGTGTTATGCGTTTTTATAAAAAGGTGCATGCATTTCTTAAAGTGCAACTCTGCTTTTGTAGACAGCCCGTTCATATAAATGGGCTGCCCTACTGCACCTGCTACCTCGCATCGCAGATATGTGAACGGGCTGGGGGTGTGGATTAAGTAGAATGTAATATATGACTTGATAAACAAAGACAGTTCACTGGTGTAGTGGAATTTTGGACTTTTGTACGCGTGTGTGCATATGTTTATAGCAATATGAAGAACTTTGTCCTTTTGAGTGCCTACTGTACCTATTGTTGCATAACTTTCTCCACCAAGGCATGGGATTGTGTGCTGATATCGCGTTTCTGTGCCTTTTTTTAATATATATGTTTTGTACTTATGCATTTTTTTGTTTGCATTGGGTGCATGCTAAAGTAACAGTCTTGGGTCATCTGCGAGTCTAGTTGTTGTTGTTGTTGTTGGCGCTATACAAATCCTGTATAATAATAACAACAGTTTGCGCAGCACTTTACAATATAAGGAAGACATTACAATCGCAATACAATTCAAGACATTCTTGGAGTAGACCGCTCAGTATGAGCGGTCTACTCATGCCCATCCCGCAGGAACTGCTGTTTTACTGTTAACCAGCAATGTGCACATAATCAACAGTGCTTCTAAAACTGCTCACACATGTTCCATTCTGATTCTACAAACACCAGTAGATTTACTACAACTGTGTAATGTGATGGAAGCCCCAGAGCCTTGGATGAGCAGCCCCTCAAGTCTGTGTGAAAAACTGTGATAAACTGTTGAAAACCTTTTTGAGTGTGCAACAGCAAGTGGATTGTTCAGCTGGCAGCCATTAGCGCCAAGAGCTAAAGAAAACGTTTTGTCTGTGTAATGTGATGGTCTAACTCAGGGGTGCCCACAAGGTCGATCGCGATCTACCAGTCGATCGCGTAGCGATCACTGGTAGATCGCCATGTCCTCTCCTCCCACCGCTTCTCTGGCTCCCCGCTGCTCTCCCCAGCGAAGTGAAGGAACCGGCGGCGGGGGAGGACGGAGCCGCTGTCACAGAACTAATGCAGAGCGGTGAGGAGAGAGAGAGAGACGCTCGGCCAGGATCTGACAGTCGGCGCCTCGCTCTCCCCTCACTGCTCGTCCGTTCTGTCACAGCGGCTCCAGGCACACAGGCACTAATGATCGCACTGTGGGCGAGGGGCCTGGCTGCGGTGCCATTGACTTCAATGCACCGCCACGCCCCCTCCCGCCCCTGAATGCAGGTGTTTTTTCATTGGTAGATCTCAATGAGCTCGTCATTTGGAAAGTAGATCTCCAGACGAAAAATAGTGGGCGCCCCTGGTCTAACTATACAACTCATTCATTTTGTATGCAACCAAGCAGTACAACATGGCTATTGGTAGATCAAAGCATCTTTGTTTAAAGACATTGCCATGTACATGGTCACCTTGGAGAGATGAGCAATCCCAAAGGCAGCTTAGAAGACTGCAACCAGTAACAAGCCCATTGCAGATGAGCGGCTTCCAAACTGCTTGCCTTTGGCACGTCTTTTGTGTAAGATAACTTTCACAGCAATAGATGGGTATGGCCGTATGCCAGAGTTTGTATGCACCCAGAACTGTATAGACCACCAAGCATGAGAAAAAAAATGGTTTCCTTAACTAGGAGGAGCCTTTTAAATCTTCAACACCCCCTCACTTTGGCTTGCTACATTTAGCCACAAATATTCAGACACAGCCAAAAATGTTTATCAGACTTGGTTAATTTTGACAGTTGGCGGTGCTCCATAAACCTCTGTTGCCCTAATCAGAAGTGGTAATCTTCTCCATGCACCTCCTCCATAAACGTGGATATTTGGGCGCACCAAATGTTTGTTTTTATGCTTTCAGCCACCCAAGTCAATTTAAGTACCCCCAGCAGCAACTAGTCAGCTTTGTCCATTCATTTTTATTCCTGTAGTGGATTTCTAATAACCTATTTGGCTGAAGCAACTCGTGTTTTTCATGCATGTTGGGAAATGAAGGCCAGTTTAGTTTTATAATGAAGTAAGACTTCTCAAGGGGCTGCTAATGCAATTGCTGTAGGGCAATGTAAGGTCTGTTTTTGTCTGTGGGAACACGATTTTCATCCAGAGCTACGTGTCCATGAAAGAGAAAATGACAACATTTGACAGTTCTTATACATGGGGTGTACTGTGATTAATTCCAGGTGGTTCACAGAATTAATAGCTGCTTTGTTTAGAGAAGGAGATTTACAGATTTGTTCAAGTCTATCCATTTAACATTATGGCTTGTCAGATCAAGATTAAT